ACAGAGGATCTATTACTGGCTCATTAGCCTGAATCATGCAAGAATTAGACTCCAGCCTGCTGACAATAGCTCAGAGAATGGGCCTTTTTTTGCTCAGGAGTCAGGGGTTAAGTTACCAATCAAAATAGCCAGGCAGATGTATTGAGACATTTTAATATTGGCCATTGTGGAAGCTCTAAAAATTTTAATCTCTCACTGGCATGGCTGCCCCCCAAGGCAACTCAAATAATGGTCTTCAAGTGGGGGGTTGGTGTTCAAAGAATTGATGTACCCTGTGGCATTTGGATAATTGTGTTGGAATCGTCGCCACCTTGAACAGTTTTCAGGCTAAATGCCCTTTCTTATTCCTACAGCTTTGCTTACCTGGACCACAAATTTCACTGCTCTTTCACTCCTAATTGCTGCATTTCAGTTCCTCTTCAGTTCCACCACCTCAGACTGAGCTGCTTCGGGAAATCAAAGCAATGCCACCCACACTAGGAGCCAATATAGTGCGAGTGCTAACCCAGAGAGTTAGTCAATATATTGGTTCTTGGACAAAGCAGGCCAGGTGTTGCTGTTGTACCACAGTTAATATAACGTAAACCACCAGAGGGGGCCAATGATGAAGACTATGCCAGAAGAATCATCTCCAACACACCCCAACAGACAAGCTCACAACATTGTTTTGTGTGTTTTACATCTGCAAAGCAGAATATTTTGTCTCACCTGCCAGATAGTGCTTGCTCCTCTTCATCATTTCCCCCTTCTACACATGGTGTGGTGTTCCTCATCCTCCACAGCTCAAAGCAATGCCACCCACACTAGGAGCCAATATAGTGCGAGTGCTAACCCAGAGAGTTAGTCAATATATTGGTTCTTGGACAAAGCAGGCCAGGTGTTGCTGTTGTACCACAGTTAATATAATGTAAACCACCAGAGGGGGCCAATGATGAAGACTATGCCAGAAGAATCATCTCCAACACACCCCAACAGACAAGCTCACAACATTGTTTTGTGTGTTTTACATCTGCAAAGCAGAATATTTTGTCTCACCTGCCAGATAGCGCTTGCTCCTCTTCATCATTTCTCCCTTCTACACATGGTGTGGTGCTCCTCATCCTCCACAGCCCCCCCTCTCAGTGGTCCTGTCCTCTCTCAGGGTTCAGACTAATGACTAGTGACAGTCCACTGAGGGGAGCGAGCTGTTTGCAGTCAGCAGTGCGTTTGTTGGTAATTATTTTCCAGAGTGTCACATTAGTGTCAGCCCCATGGCAGTGAGAGAGGAGAGAGGATGGGGGACCCGACCGGCTGGATGGGTGAGGTAGTGAGCAAGGGGAGGGGAAAGGGTGTGATATTTGGTGGTGGGCAGTGTTGTGTATGTGTAGTTGAGGTGGTGCAGGGTCTCACTGCTCTTTACTTTTTGCCTCATAAGACAGACTACATAAGGCTAAAGTTTAAGGATGGGAGAAAGCGAAGGAAAAGAAAGTGGTGTACAGCTTTTCTATGTGTTTTTCTAGGCAGAGTGGGGGAGTCAGAAAGTATTGAGAAACAAACTAACACGTAGAAAGTTTGGTCTTTTCATGGGATTTGTTGACAATAAGAAAAATATGCTTAAGTTATAACATAATTGGACAGTATGTTCCCTAAAGCTGCAAACTGTGCTTCGCATGTTCTCTTTGACCGTTCTTAAACCACTTACATCTATAGTGCTCTGATAAAACTACATTTAGTTCAGGGAATGTAATTTTAGCAGTGTAGATACAAAGTTGAGTATATGCAAACAGTATCGGCCTGCCAACATGATTGTGCTGTGAATTTGAAAACATACAGGATGCTGGTGTTCGTGTGTGTGTGTGTTGGGGGGGGGGAGTCACCAACCCCCTGGGAGGAAGCGATCAATGATTGAGACCATAATGCACCTCTCTGTATTCCTCCTCACATTCACGCTCACTGACTGCTTTGGGGAGCTGTCAAACACACTCGTGCAGACAAACAGACACATATTTTCACCTTCACTTAGGCACACACACACATACACACATGTTCGACAGCTCATCTCTCACACGTTCCCTTCCACTCCATCTTGTAGCTGTCTGGTCAATGGCCTCCTTCTCTGTCTCACTTGTACTGCTCAGTCTTTGGCAGACTGCTCTGCTCTAGCGCTGTCTCTCCCTATGTTAATATAGTAGCTAACCCCTCTCTCCATAGCACTGCTACCAGACAGTCTCTATGTCGATACACTGAGGAAAGTGTAGCACTCTGCTGCACAACTACTACCCAACTGACTCCAGAGAACTGAGCTCTCTTCATCTCCACCGCAGCTACTGCCACAGTGAGCATCCTGCCGGGCCACTCTGTCGTCCTGTACACTTGATGCTGCAAGCGCTGAAATTTTGAATCTGGTACATCTCTCTTTAGCTTTACCAGCAGTCATTTAAAAAATCATTTTTGCCAATTTTTTATATTCTTTTACTTTTGATTAGGCGATTGTATGAATTTTGAAGGCAATCTGCAAAGTCTAATTGGAGATTGTGAGTCTCACTGATTGGTTGTGGCCATGATGACTTCAGTAACCTGACTTACTCCACACCCTCCGACAGCAAGAACTGGGAATGAGGTTGAAGAGTACAAAATAAAGGCATGATTATTTACTGTTCACCACTCCAATTACACGTCGAGAAAGTTAAAAGACTCTGCTGATAACCTCTGGCATCGTAATAAAAGAAGTGGAGAACTCTCATCACGCTGATTTAATTTGCCTCAACTCATCTCCTGCCTCTCCTGCTTGGTTGAACACCACAGAAACCACCCTGTAAAGTTTAAATGTTATTAAAATAGCTTGAAAATGATTTAGGACTCTATTTAATTTAAGAAAAAAAATCTGAAAAGCAGGATATGGGAATGTGTGGCATGGTGATAAGCAGAACTAACAGAGACAAAAACAGGACAAAACAAAGCATAAACCACACGTATTGAGATGTTATGTTCTGTGTGTGTGAATGTGCCCGTCTGTGGCAGTCAAAAAGACAGCCAAGTGACTCACCTCCTGCCAGAAAATGAAGACATACAATTAACATCGCATCCCATCATCCTCAGCTGAGCGGGCAGGCCTGTAATTGGCTGGCTGACCAGCCTGCGTGGCTCCGGGTGGCAATTTATTCTGGGAGCCATGCAGTGTACCCTGGGCGGCTAACGGCCCCTGTGCCATAACCTGGCTGAGGCAGCAGGGACATCATTAACACTTCACTGGGTCTACAGGACACACAACCATCATACGCTATATACCGCCCACAACCACTAGTGCAAGGGGCAAATTGGAGTGGCGGGGTAAAAATAATAATCATAATGACAATGGAGCCACTTGTTTTCACTGATCAGCTGGCAGATGCTTTTGTTATTTCCCGGCAAAAATAAATAAATAAAATGAAAGATGATCTTTGATTGTTGATTTCTAATGAAATAAAGGTTATTATTGCCCTGAGCAGAACGGGTTTGGGAATCGAGTTCCATGTCGGCCCAATCTTGTCCAACTCTGACCTGTTAGACACTGTGTGGTGGCATGCTGTTATCCGACCATAAAATACTGTGGAATAATCTTGCCTTGTTACAGGGAAGACATGTGTTACATGCTCCCATTTTGGTCTGAGGGCAAGAGTGTAGCAAAGTCAGCCTGGACTCTGGCTTTTGTGTCCCTTTAAAGGTCAGCATCTGCTGTCTGAGCCTTCACTTCTTCACCACTGTCTTAAGGTGTGACAGGAAGCAACACATACAGAAACCCCCATCTCAGGGAACACCTTAGGAATGGGAGAGACAAATAAGGTGCCCAGGCCAAGTCATGGTTGTCTTTAGTTTTAGGTAATGTAAACAAGAGAGTCAATATGTATTTTTATATCCCAATCATCCAGTGTGATTTCAGGTTGAGTTGGCAACCACTGGTTTCCAGCTGTGTCTCCCCACAAGCCTCTTCCTTGTGTCTTCTTCTTGGCTGTGATATTCCCAATTCACCGATTTCCTATCTCAGGACTCTCTCTCACTCTGATTACAACTTGCTCACATACAGGCTCACAGCCAAATGGCTGTTCATTAAAGACAGGGACCTGAGGGGAAGCAATCGTCTGAGAGACGGAAATTGCGTGTCACATTAGATTAGCAGTGTAAAGCCTCTGGATTGGCTCCAGGGAATAAGGAATTATTTCAATTACATTATTTCAAAAAGTCTTTAAGCAATACCAATACCGATAAAAACAAATTAAGAGTGATTTAGGCTGATTTGTGCCGCTTTGAGCGGTGCTCTCTGACAATGTGGTGGAAATCAGATATGAATAATGCAGATATTACACTGTGTGTAACGTGTTGGAGTTGAAAGCAGATTATCTGTGACAAATAATCCTACCAGTTTGCATTGTGTCTCATCAAAAGGGAATGCTCCTAAGTGTCAATCACCAGCTAGAGACTGTATAGGCTCAGTGAGCCACAGAGGAGAGGATAACTCCATCTCCTGCCATTCACTGTGACAAAGCAGTGACACCAAGAAACACTCAGAGAAAGTGATGACTTAAGTGGGTTAACACCTTATGCATTAAATTCATGCTTTTTGTGATAAAATGTCTCAATGTAGTGTTTGCATGCCCTTTCATGCCTCTGATATAGCTGGTGGGCTTGATCTTCCAAATTTGCATCTGTAATTTTTGTAAAGGTTATATTCATATAGGCCAGTAGAGCACTAGAAAGAATAAGAATGTTTAAACCAAACTCCAGATTGGTGATTCCCTCAGTTATATTATGTGGCACCTGCCACAGAGTTTTCTTTTGTGTATGTGTGCTTTAGTTTTTTGTTTTCATCCTGTGGCAAAGCTGAATACTGTATTTTCCTTTTGGCTCAGTTTCACTGTAACAAATCTTTAGCGAAGGCAAGAAACTGAGCGCGTCCATCGCAGGCAGCGCCTCTTAGGGGGAGAGAGTCGGGGGGAGAGGGGGGGGAAGAGG